GATGCAGGAAGAAGAGGCTGTTTTAAGTTTAGTGACAGTTAAATCTGCTGATCTGAAATCCTTCTTGAGCGAGTCTGATTACTTCTCTGTACTCCTACAACAGCAGTTCCAACAGTTTCCCATGCTGTTCCATCCAAACAGATCAAAATATAACTGTTAAATTTGTTGGTTAATCAGCTGAGTGTGAGCAGTTTGTTGCATGTGGGCTAAACATGTTTGGAAATATTGTACAAAATAGAATTTTATCCACATCATTTTCTTATTGGGAACATTACTGTCAGAGTGGTTCAGGTGTTAATTTTTTGCGTTGTGTTATAAATCTATACTGCCATATTTAAACGAGATAACAGCGCCACCACACCTCACATTGTGCAAGCTGTAGAACTAGCTGGTAATCCTTGTTTGTCACCGCCATGCTATTTGCTCTGACCATCAGGCTAAATCTGGCGCTGCATTTAATGTTTCTGGCCCTTGGTTGGGTAAAATCACAGGCTATGGGCTATCAGGTTTTAAAAGTGGATTGACTTTGAGGCTGGTGATTTCTCCTTCAGCACAGAGAGACCTCCATTGTTTATTAATATGGTTGGAGCAAGAGAAGCCAAACTGCAAAAGAGCTTTCCTGAGTGCAGCATTCTAAAGCAATATTAGTGCCTTAATGTAACCCTAATGCATAAAGCGGTAACTCTAGAGTGCAGCATTCAAAAACAGTATCCCTGTATCCCTAATAAAAGCACAGTTTTGAAACCTCAGTGGAGTTCGGTATCCTAAAGCACTATTTCTGCATTACTGTAACCCTAGAGTGTCACTTTCTACATTAGTACTGCACATTTACCTCACTAGCATAACTCTGTTGAGAATTAAGGAAATCCTGGAGTACAAGTAGCATCACTGTAACCCACCAGCTCAGTATTCTGGAGCAGTACTACTCTATTCCCATATTACTTTTACTAATGTGTATTTCTGTGAATCTTGAGTGTCACCACTACACCAGTACTATTTTACTCTGTTACCATAACTCTGCTGTAACCCTAGAGTATCACCTTTAACAGCAGCACTGCGCTTTTACCATGTTATGTAACTATTAAGTAACCCTAGAGTGCAGCATTCAGAAGCAGCACTGTTGCAAGCCCACTATGCAGTGTTACAGACAGACAGATATATAATAAGATTTATTCCACCAGTTAGCTTTACATACATTGCTTACATTATGTAGAGGTATTGTTAACGTTACTTCCATTATGCAAAACCTAACCTTACCCAACATTACCCAAAACCTAACTCTAACCCTGGCCCTAATCCTAACCCTAATCATAACCTCAACCCAAAACCTAATCCTAATGCTGATATGTTTTTGACATGTTACTGAGAGTCTGTTGAGTGTTTGTTTCATCTAAAAGGACCACTCAAAATAAAGTGTCACCAGACTTCGTAGTATGCTTTGTTCCAATAATGCAGATTTTTTTTTTGTATTTGGACAGCGACAACATACACTAAACCCAAAGCATAAATTTCTTACAGTAAAACAAATATTTAGAAGACTGTTACACTGTCACAGTGTATGTATACGTAGTAAATCTAGTAATCTATTTACATTGACAGCATTTTAAGTCATCAAAATCACATCCCCAACATGAAAGCTCTCTCAATTTATAGCTACCTTAAATACGCAGCCTACTAATCTCACTTTGGTGAAATGTTATAGCAGCTTCAGCTAAATACTATCATACTAAATACTATAATACTAATAGCAATCCCACAAAGCAATTCAAAATCCATTCAGATTTTACTTAAATGGAGGCAATGTGTCAATGGTAAAGTTGATCTTCAGTTTTAACTGTGCACAATATTACAAACATTGCATGGAGTTTCACTTCTTATAAAAGTGGATAAATGTCACATTATTTACAATTATAGCTAAACAGACAGCAATTGTATAGTTTTAGGCACATTAAGTGTATTCACAATTTAGCATTTTAGTTAGCTTTCACCTGTTAGCTCAGCAAACCATGAATACAACCCTGTTGTCAAACACCATTAGGTAGAAAACATTAGGTAATCACTGTCCCAGCTATCCAGGGTATTCTTGAACAATTAGCTGCAATAATGAGCACTCACTGCTGCTTATGTGTAGCTGTCTAGCCACTCCAGCAGAGTCTAACCTAAAAGTTTGATGAAGGTTGCAGTGATGCTGACAGCTGAGGTGAGTAAACACCGGTCACCTGCAGAGGGTTATTGGTGATGCAATCACTCTCTAACTACAGTGTCTCAATAAGCTGTCTTATAAGGTTTCATTTAGGATAAAATGCTGTCTGTGTAGGCAGTGGGAGGCAAGGCAGCCCACCAGGCACTGAAATAAACACACAGTGAAACAAACCCACAGTATTGTCCGACACAGTATGTAACAGAACAGAGCTTTAAAAATGACCCAACCAGAACACAGTACTCTACTGGACAAAGCAGGGAACTGCGCCTGCTCCACCAGTCTTAACTGATTTACTCTACTGACTGACTGTCATATTCATCCCACACTCATCCACACTGCTGTGTCAGGGGTACCACAGAGGGCGCACACTCCACTGTTGCATCACAGAGCTTGAGGGAGTGTTGAGCAACGGCATCTGATAGTGAATTAATTCTTTTGAGGCATTAAAGAAACTGTCTGACTCTGACTGAATCACGCTGTTTTGTAGCATCTACACAGTGTTTATGTCCATGGTATAGGCTGAAAGACTTCAATTAAGAATAACAATCTTTCACAGTTTAACCTCAAACAGGGCTGTTACTTGCTATAGGCGGTATAAGCACACATTTAGAAAGCCTAAGACACAAGAGGCCACACAATTATGTAGTTTGGCATAAAAATATCTTACAAAGACATCACCGATGGTTTAGTTCTTATAAAAATTTGAGAAAGTAGAAATTATAGACATGCCATTTATCTATCTTATTTAGGCTATATGTCCAATTTACCTCCATTGTTTCATTTATAAATAGTTAATTACTGTTTTACAGAGGTTACAGATGGATCTACATAGGCCCATAGGCAGCATTAGAAGTCATGAAATCAACATCATGAAGGCTGTCTCGAGTCATAGATTCCTTAAATATGCAGTCTATTGTTCTTATTTCGGGCAAGCTTTGAAGCAGCTTCATGTGTGTCCTCAGTAAAGCTATTCCATGGAGCAATGTGACGCACTCTTAAAAATATATATTGATGTTATTTAAATGAAGGCAATATGGCAAGGGGTGAATATTCAAATGTGCAGTTCTTCATACAGTGGCTGGTGTTTTACTTTTGTTTTTGTCATAAAAGTGAATGAATGTTGCATTATGTACAATTTTAGCTGCATAGCTTAGCATGTAAAAATTAATAAAGTCCCAATTATTATTCATTCTTTCATACAAAATTAGACAGGTAGATGAGGAGCCCCCGTGGAAGATACTGATTAGGGTCCCTATATGTTCAAAAATGGTTCTACTCACAAACCTCATCATAACATCCCTGCTAAAAGAACCAGCACAGAGCAGCACAGCTGGTCACCAGCAAAACCAACATATCGTTGCTGTCCCAAAATAAAATGTTTTTTTTTCTTCTTTTCATCTAAGCACAACAGCTGTCCTTTACATGGTCCATTGTCTGAAAATGTCATGATGAAAGGACCAACAGAAATACTCCAACATCGCTTGGAATAAAATCTAACTTACATTCAAAGTAAAGAAGGTTTTGACCTTCTGTAAAGTTGCCATTTTGGAGATACATGGAGTTTTGTGTGTGTTTTGGATGCTGATATGCTGGTCAACTACTGAGAGACCAGGTAAACCAGCACCAGAGCAGCATTAACCAGCATAAACCATCTCAGACCAGCGTGGAGTCGTTTTAGGAAGAACCCCTTTGAATTTGCCTCATTTCTCTCTGTAGAGCGACACTGTCTTCCTCTTTCTGTTGTGCTTATGTTTTACACTCTGTCTTACAGTCTGACTCCGTTTTGGACTGGAAATGAGGACAAAGTTGACTTGACTTGTGAAACAATGACTCGCTCGGGTCAGCTGGAGAGAATCGGTTCGAGACCTAAAACTGAACCGAACTGAAGCGTCACTACAGCTGAGCTGCTGAGCGCTGGTCTCTGTAAACGAGCCTCTCCTCTGTCGCCGCTCCGTCTCTCTCCGCCTGCAATCAAACATTTAACAGCCAGGCCCGCTGTTCGGTGTAAAGCTCCTGCAGCAACGAGCTGCCGGGACGCGCACGAGGCGAATGATCTCGCTCCGCTGAAACATTCACAAGGGCAGGGGCATCAATTATTTACCCCCTCCCACCACTACCATCCCCCAAAATAAAGCGTTGCACTGTTGTACTCGCGATTAAAGTCACGTTGAAAGGCCCTCTCGCATGAGGGCAGGTAGGGGGTGTTTTTTACACTGCTGCACGCGCAGACCGAAAGACGGGGGACGTCTCGAGGCTGGCACGCGCTCTCTCAGCCGAGCTTCATCTTTCAGCGAGCTGGAGGTGAGGAGCTGCTAATTGTTTCTGAGGCTGAAGCTCGCGCTGCAGTTTGGCAAGCAAGACACGACACACAGCGCGTGAACTGAAAGCCCAACGCCGCGAGCGCTGCTCATCCTCGCGCGTCCGCATCGCTTCTGCGCTGATTTTGAAAACGCCGCGCACCGACTGCGCCACGACCACCGCCGAGAAACCAGTACAAAACCATGACACTTCCCTCACCCCGCCGGCTACCACACTGATGCTCATCCACACGCGCCCATCCTCCATAGCCACACACACCGAGCTCGCGCACAGCACGTCCCTATCGCACCATAACGTTGGGCTTGGTTTGGAAGCCCAAGTCAGCTTCCTATTCGCCAGCGTCCTGTTCGAATTTCCCCGTTCCACCTTAAATGGTGCAGCAGTTATGTTACTACTGCGCCACTTAAGGTGGAACGGGAAAATCTGAACAAGATGCTGGCGGATAGGAAGCCAACTTAAGCCTTGTAGCCAGGTTTACCTCGTCCTGCTGCGGGTTTGCTCTCTGGCTCTGCTGCTCCTTGGTGGCCGTCATCCTTCAGTCCCGGCGCAGGCGAGAAAGAGAAAGAACACCTCGGCAGGTTTCAGCCAAGATGCGACTGAAGAAATCGTCTTAATAATAATAAAAACTCAAAGCAAAACAAAACGCCGCGCGCGTTAGATCTGGCGCTCTGTCACTTTGCACGCTTCCTGAGCGCTGGATGTGGATGGATGTGGAGGTCGCATTCCACAGCAGCGCGAGCACGGTGAGTGTGGACGCTGAAGGGTCTCTCTCTCTCTCTCTCTCGCTCTCTCTCTCTCTCTCTCTCTCTCTCTCTCCAGTCGGAGCGCAGACAGAGCTGAGACGAGGATTTGGGCCGTGAGCAGGAGGGGCAGCAGTGAGTGGGGCTGTAGGGGAGGCTGTGTCTGGGTGGCCAACGCGAGGCTTTAAAGAGCACAGAGCCTCCAGACATCAGTGTAGAAGACATGGAGATTTGCATGCACACAGGGCTGCACGTTAGACTGTTCCTTCCAAACTGAAGCTATGTTAATGTAACCCATTTAATTCATGAACCATTTTTCACAACAAATCAAATAATTACCAGTAATGGCTTGAATTGTTGGCTTGAATTGTCACCACATAAATATCTACGGAGCCCTGCTGGTGACATCCCATACAAATTACAATAACACGTAGCCACTACTTAATAAGGCGTGGGAATGAGATCCTAAAGCGTGGCTACGACTTACTAAGGTGTGGGAATGAAATAATGAAATCATGGCCTAGACTTAGTAAGGCTTGGGAACAAGACCATGCCTTGCTAAGTCGAGGCCACGCATTAGAATCTCATTCCCATGCCTTACTAAGTCGTGGCCATGACTTAATCATCTTGTTCCCACGCCATACTAAGTCACGGCCATGAATTATATTTATTTATACAGGATGTCACCAGCAGGGCTCTGTGAATAACAATCACTGTTATTGGAAAACGTTGGTATACTGACAGACAACTATGTATTGATGTATTATATCTTATGAAATGTCATACACTGATGAAGTAAATTCAGTGTTTCACCTTTTTAGGTGTAGAATGAAAATGTCCTAACACAACCACATATATCTCCAAAGTGGCAGATTCTTAATGTTTAATGTAAGTTAATGTAATGAAATTTGAACCAAGTAATCCTGGACCTTGTCTACTGGTCTACAAGGGCGGCTGCTGTGCTCAAGTGATAAGAAAAATAAGAATAGGAAAAGAAATGGAGATTCATGGGTTTGATATGGCAGGAATGATATGACACAAAATAGTTAAGCAGCAGATTATTATTGTAGTCACTGTTGCTGTTATGTTGGTGATGATAAAGACAACAATCGTCATCATTATCATCATCATAGTTATGGTGATATGTGGAATTATGCTGATGAGGGTTCTGTCCATGGTGCTAGTTCTCAGAGCAGAGGAAGCACATTTGTTCTAACAGCACTGTACGTTTCTATTTTGGCTCATGAAGAGAACTCAAGCCGACAGTCCACTCACTCAGACTGTATGCCGGAGCTGTGTGTGCATAAGAGCTGCTTCAGGAGCTTTCTGATCTTCATACAGTTCAGTGTCAATGCTCTACAAACAGATACTCACAATCTCTCTCTCTCTCTCTCTCTCTCTCTCTCTCTCTCTCTCTCTCTCTCTCTCGCTCCATCTCTCTGCATCTGCATGCATTATCTATGTAGCTATATGCCCTGCATACACACTGGCCACACTAGGTGTCATCTGTGTTTGTTTATGGAATATTTCACCTAGAAAAGTTGACATAAGTACCGGCAGAAAAGCTTGAGAACGATTTAAATGAGATGCAGCTTTCTGGTCACACATGCAAAAATGATATTTAAACAACAATATGTAATTACAGCCCACATAAGTATGTTCCAGGAAGTGGCAAAGGCAGCATTTTTTTTACATTGTAAATAGCAGTTTATGATGGTTGGTGGAACATGAAAAGTGGTAAAAAAAGAATGTTGAATGTAAGAAGAAGAAAAAGTCAGCTTCTGTTCTCTGATCTCAAGCGCTCTCCTCGGCCCTGGAGTGATAGATACATTTATATGTATGAGATGGGATGTTGATAAGCTGTTTTGCTCTGACAATGGCTGGGGACATGTGTTTAATGACGAACATCACTCTCATGTCAACCTGCCATATGCTGCTCACTTTCCCTCTCCTTTACACACACTCATGTCAGCGCATGCAGATGCATACAGGCACACACACACACACACACACACTGTGGAGTCTCTGTGGATCTCCTTACCGTCATTCAAACATGCTCAAAATAATTACATCATGGATATTGTTTATTGATGCAAAATTCTGTTTGAGTTTAATATTATTAATTTAGGCATAGAAATTCATAACAGTACACAAAACCAAACCCTTCAGTCCAGGGCCCTTGATGGCCCCCTACAACCAAGGGCCCTGGATAGCCAGTTCCACTCCACCCCCAGCTGTGATGCCCAAATTTTAAATTCTGAACAGCTTTCATAAGCATACAAAGTTTCAAATATAGCCATGTTTTCTGCACCAATGACAACAACCGTATATTATCATTTTCTGGAAGCTTTGACTTGTAATTCTAAATGTGCAAAGTGGTTTCTGGATGATCAGCCCTCTAAATAATTGATGTTAAAGGAGTTCCATGCCTGTCATGCTATGCATCCTCATTCAAGGCCTTGGAACGAAGATTTTGTTCAAATGCGACTCTAGTTTATTATAAAGCCCTAATCAGTGTGCTCCTGTGCCAGGCATTTGCAGCTGTTTCGAGTAATTACACTAAATGTCTTTGATGGCTTTTACGGTGCAACGATAAGTCAAATTTGCACAAAACATTGCAGAGATGTCTTGAATGTGACATGATTGCACAGGCATATGTCTCAGTGCTCTAGGAAAAATGATTTACATACATCATTTGATTTTTTTTTTTATATATATATATATATTATTTTGGTTATTCCAAAATCACTTTTTTCTAATTTATGACTAAATGGCAAAACATAAAAACATAATCTATATGCACCTGGTGATTTAAACAGCAGTTAAATTTGCAGGGATCTCAAATAAGACTGAAGCAAATAACAATGCACAAGCACAATAAATCCCTCTATTTACCATTTACTTGACTTTAACCTAGACACACCCTGATGATGATGGGCCAAGGAACTATCCAAACCTTGTTGCAGCAGCAGCCAATAAGATATAGTGGGCCGACAGCCACCATTACAGTACGTCTAGTGCTTAAATGTTTGCAGATAGCTTTTTTAACTCCAAAAAGTCCAAAACAAAGTCAAAAAATGCCACTAAAAAGTAACAACCAATGCAGAAAGACACTGCACCTGTTGACAGTGGGTTCAGTAAGGACACAAGGACAAGACGTCAAAGACGGAACGTTGCATCAGCAGAGGCATTCAGGCTTGCTGTAGGTGAAAGGCCTGCTATTCTGGTTATTGTGTGTGTCTTGGAAGAATGTTTTTTTTTTTTTTTTAAGTTATGTAAAAATGTTATGTAAAGCTGCATTGTGTAACATTTGTGTTGTGAAAGTGCAATACTCGAGTGTTCCCATGGGAAAACTGTTTAGTATAGTTGTGTGTGAATCCACTGCTGACATGCTGTATGAGATCCACAATTTCTCAATAAAAGTCTTGGCTAATCTCATCAGGAACCATCAATGTGTCCAGACTTATGTGCACCACTTTCGTAATCACTTGTGTCACATGTATCGCTTTTATATTCATGTTACATAGTAGTTTCACACTAGTTACTGAGTAGTCATGGTAGTCACTGGATAATAATAATATATAAATAATATGTGAATAATGATTGTAGAATTCAAGAGGTTAATAAGCTATCATGATTACAGTGCAGTATTCTTGTTTAATTTGTTGTGGTACTCCTTGTGTTGTTCTCAGGTGTTTCTTTGGTAGAATCTGCATGTGGCTGTGTGCTGCACATTGGAATAAATGGTGCTTTAAATTTACTTGATTCAAAAATGTCAGCTGGATGCATTTGAAAAAAAGTGTTACATCAACACAATTCAGGCCAAAAGAAGTAAACCGAAAGACAGCAGGTATGTTGATGTAACACAGTTTTTCAGAAGCAACCAACTAAGGCATTGGTAAATTCAAACCACCATTTTTGTCAGTGTAGTTAGTTTCTGTGCAGTAAAGCTGGGACCTTTCCTCTGTGTAGTTGTGTGTCATGAACCCACAGTATCATTAAAATTGCCCTGCTCTCATTAATTGTCAGTATTCGAACTTAGAAACATCAGAGTTGAGCAAAAAAAGCAACCTTAAATCAGAGTGCAGCCAAAAAGCAATCCACCTGTGCTCATCCTGATAGAGACAGCAATCACACTGCCTCACTGTGTGGTATGAGTGTGTGTCCAGAAAGAGGCAGTCAGTCATCCCTCTATTAAAGATTATTGTGTGTGTGTGTGTGTGTGTGTGTGTGTGTGTGTGTGTGTGTGTGTGTGTGTGTGTGTGTCTGTGTGTGTGTGTGTTATAAAGGTCATCTAGTTCAGCTCATTCCTGATAGAGAAGTGGATAGGGGATCTTAGCAGCTCTACTGGGTCAGACAGGGTCGCTGAGGGCTGCAGTCATTTCTGCTCCAAAAGAATCAAAACTTAAAGTACTTCTAAAAGAAAAGACTTTCACCACATTTTTCCTAAGAAATACAGATCAAACATGGCAAATAGGGCTGGAGCATTATGAAAATGTAAAAAATTCTGATAACTGATAAAATGATTCATTCATTCATTCATTCATGATCTTTAACCGCTTAATCCAGGTAGGGTCGTGTTTGGGAGAGCAGAGAATCCCAGATAAATATGATAACATCAGCCAATGAATTTTAAATTTATATTTTATACATATTTTATACATATTACATATTTTTACCCTGTTGTGTCCAATTCCCATCCCCTTATCACACCACCAAGCTAGGATGGTGAGGGCTAGCACATGCTTCTTCCAAGACACATAAAGCCAGCCATCGCATCTGTTACATCAGCTAAAAGACATCCGCATTGGCTAGCATCGCCCTGAGTGATGATGGGAGTGTCCCACTCCAGTCTTGGACTTGGAATTCAGGCCAAGGATGGCTACAACATCGCCTGGAATAAAACTCGCAATCGTCCAGCCAACCAACAATCAATAATC